GTCTTTAATTCTTTGATACGATCTTTGTTGGGGCCTGCAACTAACATGTCGTCAATATACAACAATAAGATAACAAAGTTATTTTTACCAAACCTCTTGAAATATACATAAGGTTCTGAATTACGTTTGTTGTATCCAAGGCTCATGATGAATGAATCAAATCTGTTGTACCAACACCTTAGCGTCTGCTTTATACTGTATAGAGATTTGTTCACCCTGTAACTAAATTCTCTTTTTCTTTTTCTTCGAAACCTTCTGGTTGGAGCATATAAATTTTTTCTTCAAGATATCCATGAAGAAATGTTGTTTTCACATCTAGTTGCTCTAGATGTAAGTCAAATATAGTGTTCATAGTCAGGACTATTCGAACTATTGTAAGTTGAAATACAGGAAAAAATATTTCATTAAAATCAATACATTTTTCTGAGCATATCCTTTTATTACCAATCTAGCACAATATCGTTCCACTTGATCACCTCCATTTCACTTGATCTTATAAACCCATTTATTTTCAATGGTCTTTCTTCCTTATTGTAGTGACACAAATACCCAAGTCTTATTTTTTATGGAGAGCTTTAATTTCTTCCTGCATTGCTGTCATCCACAAAGATGTATCTGTACTATTTGTAGCTTCATGAAAAGTTGATTGCTCTTCATTCTCTATTAGAAGACAGTATGCAACATTACTCTCCGTAATATACTCTGAGTGCTAAGTCGGTGGTCTTCTCTCACGAGTTGACTTTTGAACTTCTGGATCCTCAGACTCGACTGGTTCTTGTACATCATGCTTCGGTGTTGCTTTAGAAGAATTTGGACTATTTTCTACCTAAACAGCTATAGTCTCTAAGTTTTTCCTTGAACAACTTTCTTTCTCTTTACTTTGTAGTTGGTCTAAACAGCTATAGTCTCTAAGTTTTTCCTTGAACAACTTTCTTTCTCTTTACTTTGTAGTTGGTCCTCCATAAAGATAACATCTCTGCTGATGATAACCTTACGGGTAGTGGGATCACACAAGCGATACCCCTTTACTCCGTCAGCATACCCTAAGAATATACATTTCCTAGATTTTAAATCCAGCTTTGTACTTTTTTAGGTATTGTACATTACGTACACTGGACTTTCAATATATGGAGGTTGGAATAATCAGCTGGCTTGCCGGTCCACATTTCCATTGGTGTCTTAAACGATATTATGGTTGATGGAGATCGATTCAACACATAACATGTGGTTTTTACTGCTTTCACCCAAAAGATTTTATCCATATTTATAGTTACCAACATTACACTTGTTCTTTTCAACAAAGTTCTGTTCATCCTCTCCACTACTCCATTTTGTTGAGAAGTGTATGTAGAACTGAATTATCTTTTGATGCCTTCTTGCTTGTAGAATGCAAGAAATTTATCGTCTGTGTATTCTCCTCAATTATCTGACCTCAAGCACTTGATCTTCTTCTCAGATTCAAGTTCGACTCGCGCTTTGTAAGCTTTAAAGACTAAGAATACATCTTCCTTCTTCTTGGTACGGTACACCCAACATCTTCTAGAGTAATCATCAATAAATGATACAAAATACTTTGCTCCTTGCATAGATATAACTGATGCTTTCCATACATCAGAATGAACCAGTTCTGGAATAGCCTTGCTTCTAGAACTCGATGTGTTAAACTTCAGCCGATCCTAATTACTTGTAACACAATGCTCGTAGAAGAGAAGAGCTATCGATTTGAGCCCAGGAAGCAGCTTCCAATCGAAGAGAATTTTCAAGCCTTGTTCTGACATGTGGCTTAGTTTACGGAGCCAAATCATGGTTTGTTCTTCTTCATAGTTAGTTGATGCCACACATAAATTGGTTTTCTGCAGGGTTTCTCCCTTCAACATGTATAGATTTGCAGCTATACTTTCTCCCTTTATCACAACAAGCGTCCCTCTAACAATTTTCATTATCTCATTTTTTATGGGTTTTGCATCTGAGCTCATCCAATTGTCCTAAAGACAATGGATTTTTCTTCAGGCATTTCACATGTCGTACATCTTGAATGGTGCATATTGTACCATCAAACATTTTGATTTTAACAATACCAATATTAAAAAATTTTAAGGCATGATCATTGCCCATAAATACAAATCGTCCTGAGATGGCTATATATTTATGGAACCATTCTCTCCGGGAGGTCATGTGCCAAGAAGCTGCTAAATCTAGAAGCCAGGTATCAGCAAACTTCTTTTTACCTTCATCAATAGTGGTTGCTCCACTGTATAAAATTTCACCATCGTCTAATGTATTGACAACGCATCCTTAAGATGTTGATGGCTCTAAAGACTTTTTATCACCACTCTTCTTATTGTGCCAACACTTTGATTTCACGTGCCTCTTTTTACCATAGTTGTAGCATTTGATATTCCTTTTTACTTTTTGATTTTGATCTACCATGGGTATGACTCTCATTGGAGCCACGTTCCATTAATCTTCCTCTCGCCACCGATAAGGCCTCCGCTTGTTGTGAATTTACCAGCTTATCTTCTTTTTTCTTGTGCTGATTTTCTTCCTTCAGAATGGCTACTGCAATGTCGTAGAAGACTAGATAATTTGTATGACGTTGTTTGTTAGATTGATGATGAGTTGATCATACGAATCAGGTAGACGTTGAAGTAGAAGCTCTGCATGTTCATTTACACCAATTGTATGCCACAACGTTGTGAGTTAGGAGAAAGTGTGTTTAGGGTGTTGATGTGGTCAGTCATCAATGTAGATTTCGCCATCCTCAGAGTGTAAAGTCTTCTTTTTAAGAAGATTTTATTGTGCGGGGATTTGACCTTATATAACTTTGTTAGAGTATCTCACATATTTTTAATGTTTTTTTCTCCTCTATGCTTGATAGTACTACCCATCTACTAATGCCAGATAGAGATTAGCAATAGCATTTTCGTCCATCTCGTTTTACTTTTTATCATCTATGACATCGTTCGGCTTTACACCGATGGTCGCTAGATAATTATATTTTCTCAAGATAGCATTTATCTTTAGTTTTTACAGTGAAAAATTACTCCCGTTGAATTTCTCAATCTCGAACTTCACCACCATTGTTTCTACCACGAATGATAACTTCTACTATTTTTCATGAACAGTAACTGTACTCGTGAATAGTAACCTTGTACTCGTGAATAGTGCTCAATACCTTCAAAGGATAAATGATAATTTAACTTATTTTCTGATGTGGATGATCCACTTTTAGTGACAGCCACAGAGTATATGATAAGCAAATACACGCACCTTAAACCTGACTCTGATACTACTTATTAGGACAAACCTGATGCCCAATAGAGCAGGGTCCCAGCGAATAGTAGAGCAGAAATAATAAAATGAATACACAGATTTACGTGGACAACCCTCTAAATAAATTTGGGGTAAAAACCACAGTCTCCACTATGAGAAAAAACTTTGGAGTTACAATCTCTCTTTATAAGGAAAAACTCTCTATGTTTTTCTCTCACCCTTCTATATGTGGAGTTGTTGTTTCTGAGATGATCTCAATTTAAGGCTAGAAGGGCTATATATAGGTGATTTTGTGGTAGGTATGTACTATTGCTACAGTAATAGTTTGTGGGTCTGTGATTGGTATTTACTGTAGCGGGTAAGTGGTCACTGTGCTTTCTAACATTTACCACTAATGATAACTGGTGTTTTAGGAATCAGAGTCATAACAAAGGGCTAAAGCTTCATTGACATCAATGCATAGAATCCTCCAAAGGGAATTATTCATGATGAAGGTGAGATCCTTAGCAACATAATTTGTTACTTGATACGTTAAGACCTGTACCGCATAAATCTCTATCAATTTGTTTCAACGCAAGAGATCTTGTTGCATGCTTTGGAGCCCTATCAATGCTGAGATAATCTGCAGCTTAACTCCTTTGCTTCTATTTTCTTCTTTGGCTTATCTAGTATGAAGGTTTTAGGGGGTTGCATGTGATCCAATACGTTCTCAAGTATACTTCCATAGTCTACTGATCAAGCACGATCTTTTATGATGATCACAGTTTAGCTTATAATTAGCATTGCCTGTCATCAATGCTTCAGTGGATATCTTCAACCATCATTTACCATGTGTGTTAGGAGCATTCATGCGTAACGATCTCTGCTCTCTTTTTTGCTAACATTTTGAATCGGTTTTGTTGTTATCAACACTTTCAGATTTGTAGATAGTGAATGCTCAATTCAATCCACTAACGGATTTTGGATACCGATCCGAAAATGGCTCTTCTAAGATAATCTGTATTTAATCTATTTTCATCTGTTGACATGGACTTTGTGACAATGGACGAAAATTTGAGGGTTTTTTTTTTTTGGTCATGATCTACAAGGAGGACCAAAGGTTTCGAATAGCTTGCATTCATACGACCAGGTCTACAAATATTTCCTATTAGACAAAAAAAAAACCTACATTTTTTAGTCTAGCCACACGATATCGTGTAGGAAGATGCTATGACATAGAAAAAAGGTCTATGGAATCTGGAAGCTTTCGAGTTTGTCCTTCCCAGTTCAGATTGCCATCCACATCCCCTTTCATATTTATACAGCCCTTGATTGAAGGTATAATAATAAGGACCATGAACTAAACAACATCGCATAAATTACAGAACCAAGATATAGAGCAAAAATAAAAAATAAGTACAAGGCAAGCACTTTATTTGAAGAAATTGAGACATTTTACGACATAATATTGCTAAACTAAAGAACAAAGTAAATTTGATGCAACAAAGAAAAGCAAACTATCGGTTTTGTGAGGAAAAAAAACTATGCATGAGACAACAATGTACTTGTTAAGACATACACATAAGGAAATAAACTTGGTTCTAATCTGGGATTGTGACAGCTTCGGTCTAATGTCTCACATCTGAAACATAAGATTTTTTTTCAAGGAAAAATTAAAATGTAGTAAGTTAATTTCCTCAATTTGATAATAGACACGGTTATTTATTTTTTATAGATTGTTTTTCCGCAGTCATCATACAATAAAAACATAATTTAAAATAAGTTGAAGAATTATAACAGAAATGATGGTAGCTATCTGAGCAAGTTGGTTGACGTAGAAATCGAGCGTGCAGATGCTGAAGGATGATCTGTTTGCCCTGAAGTAGCACTCTGAGCTCTGCTCAGTACACTGATGGTCATCGAATCGCTCGGCACAACCAAATCCACCATGAACATTCTAGTCTCCGGTGGCATATCCACGGGTGTGTGCCCTTTGAGCATGCTAACAACTAGCTCCATACTCGGCCTGAGCTCTGCCCTCTCTTGTATGCACCAAATCGCCACATAGACCAAAACCTTAACTTGGGCCTCATTGATCCCCCCATCTTTCTTTAACCTCTCGTCCACCACCTCCATTAACTTCCCTTCTCGCATCTTCTCGTTCGCAATCTTCGGAAAATAGATCCACGTCCCCTCAGAAATGCTACCGTTATTGAAAATTTCAAAGTTCCTTCGACCTCCCAAGATCTCCAAGATGACCATTCCGAAGCTATAAACATCAGACTTGTCTGAGATACCTTCCCCTGAAAACCACTCGGGGGCTAAGTATCCTCTAGTACCCCTAACTGTAGTGACAACCCGGCTCTCATCTCTGTCCATCGTTCTCGAGATGCCAAAATCCGATACACGTGCTCTGAAGTTCTCGTCGAGAAGGATGTTCTGTGGCTTGACATCTAAATGTAGGACTCTTGAGCGGCAGTCATGATGAAGATAGGACAGAGCCTTGGCAACGTCTATCGCAACCTGGTATCTCGAAGCCCACGATAAATAACTTCCATCTTCTCGCTTTCCCGGGAAAATCCAACAGTCAAGGGATCCATTCTGCAAGAGCTCATACACGAGGAAACGATGACCCCCTCGGACAAGGCAGTATCCAATGATGGCAACAAGATTGACATGTTGAGCACTGACGATTGCGGTGATCTCTGACCGAAACTCTCTTTCTCCGCGTAATTCTCCCTCGATTCTCTTAACAGCAACAGGCAATCCATCACCGAGCACACCCTTGAAGACTGAACCAGAGCCACCTCTTCCTATAGGAGTTCGGAAGTTGTTAGTTGCTGTCTTGAGCTCATCATAACGAAACTTCTTGGGCAAACCACCAGCTCGTCCAAGATAGGTGAACTCAAGTTCTGTATGACCTTCTTCTTCATCACGTAACAGTAAACGAGCCCTCGTCCTTCTCCTATATAGAGCTATTATTTTTTTCACAAGGACCGGTGAGCTAATCGCAAGAACAAATGCTAAATCGACACCGACACAGATGAAGAAGATTGTTCGGGTGGGCTTAACACGGATACATAACATAGTAACCACAGTGAGGAGAATAAATGTCAATAAAGAAGTTGCGAAGGCCATGAGCCAAGTTCTTCTTAGACATAGCGTGTCTGGGCCATCGAAAAATCCATGGTTGATGAGCAGCCAGAGGAGAATTACAATGAAAACGAGCGTAGTTACATGGCTTCCAGTAAGAAAGAAGGCGAAGGAGGATCCAAGGGAGAGGAAAAGGATGAGAAGCAATAAGAGGAGAGAAGCAACTGATATAGCCGTAAAAGTTGGAAGTCTTGAAAAATTCATGTCGATCGATGGCGCTAAAAGAAGGAAATGATGAGAGAAACAAGAAAGGATGGACAGGAAAAAGAGATGCAAGCGACTGAACTCTCTGAATTTGCTGCAATTCACATTGGATTAGCAATAAGGCCAGAAGAAGCTCTAACCCTTTGACGGTAAGGAAAATGACAGTGATTCTTGAAGACTTGGTGCTCAGTTATCTTAAACATAGAAATGGTATAGAAAACTTTTTCCTCCCCAGAAGAAAACTATAGATGAAAACTATATCATTGCGCATCTTGGCGTTTTACAAATGGTTAGCAGCTTCCAACAGGAGCTTATCTGCTAGATAATCTTCCCGCATGATATCCCTTAGCATACTTTGTCATCAGGATCAATATATAAATTAGTCACAGATGTTAAAACGGTGGCATAGATAATTGGAAGTCTACGGTTCAAGCGTTCACAAGTCACACATTTTTATTTAAAAAAAGGTCAGGTTCTCTACATCTGATCTGTAAACAAACATCAAGCAATAGAATATACGGAGGACTTGGCCTTACAAACTGCTATTACTAGTTATCAACTGGGCTAGGTTGGAACCTGGGACCGATCGCAACCCATAAGCACTCTCCCTAGCAGATACAAACATCATAAAATATTATAAACGTTGTAAGTTAAACTGAAGTAACTGGAATAATTAACAAGGTAAGCATCGATAAGGAAGTACACGAATAAGTAATCTGCAGAGCAAAAAGCCTGTAGCAAAGATGGAACATTAATACTGCAATACATCAGAAGCAAATAAATGGTTTCTTATTTGACAAATAACAATCCAAAACAGCCCCCATTATCATCTTCAAAAGAACCCCAGCGTTCTCCCTAGTTTCAACAAGCCTCTGGTCCAAAGATCAGCAACCGAAGCACCAAACTTAGGCTTCTCAAAACAGTGCACAATACAGCAGCATAGCTTTTTTTCCCCTTGCTAAGAAATAATTACAGAAATTAAAATCTTGAATGTGGGCTTCCAACAGCTGAAAATGCCTTGCATCTGAAACATGTTAGAAGATAATTTGTAATTCTAGAACACTCTACAATAACCTTGTAATATGGAAAGCTTCTAGAGATAACTAAGACTAAAAATATGACAAAAATAAGATATATCTAGAATATAGAAATATTATAATATACTCTAGAATGTTTCATGTAAAATATTTATGCTCTAGATAGTTCTATATGTGCCTATAAATAGGCAATGGATGTAAGTATTGTGAAAAAAGCTTTGAAGCAATTAAAACAAAGTTTCTTCAACCTAGCATCTTCCCTTCCAACTTTTCATTTCCTTTCTACTTCCTCTATTTATTCTTAATCCTCTAAAACAAAAATCAATTACACATCTAGCTTCCGCAACTCCAACAAATTTGGTATCAGAGTCATCTTATTCCACCTCAAATCAATCTTGAAAGCATTTAGCCTTTCACTACCATTCTAAATGGCAGCCTCATCACCAATTGCCCCTTCTCTTTTCAACTACTCTCAAAACTTAGTCCCCATTTTCAACAGCGAAAACTATGACTTCTGGAGCCTCCAAATGAAGACACTCTTCATCTCTCAAGAACTTTAGGAGCTTGTCAAAGAAGGCTATGAGGGTCCAGATGACTCGGCAATGTTAGCATCATGGACACCGGCAAAGCAAAAGGAGTATAAGGAGAACAAGAAAAAGGATGTGAAGACGCTTCTCTTTATCCAACAAGGGGTAAGCAAAGCAATATTTTCCCGAATAATGTTCGCGTCAAAATCAAAGGATGCATGAGACATACTCAAACAAGAATTCAAGGGCTCTTATAAGGTAATCTCAATCAAGCTACAATCTTTATGGAGAGACTTTGACAACATAAAGATGATAATGAATCCGTGAAAGAATTTTCTGATAGAGTTACCTTAATTATTAATCAAGTTAGAAGCTATGGGGATAAAATAGAGGATAAAAAGATTGTTGAGAAGATATTAAGAAATCTTCCCCCCTACGTGGGATCATATTGTTGCTGACATGGAAGAATCTAAAGATTTATCAGAACTAAGTTTTTATGAACTAATGGCTTCTTTGGAGTCACATGAGCTTAGAAGAAGGTGGAGCAAGCGTTCCAGTTGTCACGACCCCAATTTCCGAACCTAAAAAGAATATTGGAGTCGGACTAAACCTGTGAAAAGTCCTTCAAAAATATACATATTCCTTAGATTACCATCACAATAATCTCTTCATTGAACTAAAAACAACAATAAATATTCTCTTTATAATTCCAAAAGTCAACATTAATCTAATTAACTCGAAATAAACAAATATTCCTCAAAATGAAATAAAACTCGACCTAAAGGAAATAATCTCATTATCATAAATCTTTTAATTCATCAATTAAACATTAAAACTTTATTTAACCTTCACCTAGAAGACAATAACAATCTCAAATTTTATTCTCTGCTCCATCTAAGAACTCATGAACCACCAACTCCACCTAATCGCAAGTCTCTGAAAAGAATGAAAAATAACATAATGAGTTCACAACTCAGTAAGTGGATAAATTCATACATTAAACACTGGTTTTGCAAAACTAAAATAAATAAATTGACTTTATACGCAAAATACTAAAATAGTAAAAGTTTATAATGCAATATTTTAAAAATATAAAAGTGCAATGGAAATAAGCAGGTCATGTCTCAATGCGGTCAACACTTCGATACTCCGGTTGACTTAGTAAACTCCACTATTATTAAGCCCGTGGTTCCGGGACGATGAGACCCAAACTTGGGCCCTTAGCGTTAAAATAGAAATCTCATAAAGGCACATTGAGCCCTGTTTTAATAACTTGCTTATATCCGACATATATCGGTATATTGACTTGAGATGCATATGTTTAAAAAGAAAAATGAACAATGTTCATATAACCAAGTATGTTATACAAAAATACCAAAGGTCAACCAACAGTGAAATCAATCAACCACATATGCATCTCAACCTACTACTATATAAAAAGACATAACAATTGACAAAGAAAATAAGCATAAGCTTATACCAAATAACCATGTGCATCACCTCCAAATCAATATTTAACATGTGAGTAAATCACACAAAATGATATAATCTACCAAAAATAAATTCGCGTATAATGACCATACTTCTTGCATTTAACATAATTCACCTTCTCTTCAACTTGATAACAATCAGAAGAATAATGACCATACTTCTTGCATTTAAAACATTGAACTTGTGTTTTCCATCGGTCTCCGTTAGATCTACTATGTCCACGGCCTCTAAAAGATCTTTGATTTTGATCTTTTTCTTCAAAGTTGTTGTGACTTTTTCTGCCATGGAAACCATGTCCTCGGCCTCGAAATCTTCCACGATCACGACTGCCATTACTTCCTTCTTTTGAATCTTCTCGACCATCCTTCAAAGAAAGCTTAGTTTGAAGAGCCTTCTCTACTGGTTCATTTCTCTTGCTAAATCTTTTCTCGTGGGCATTTAACAAACCCAAGAGTTCATCAATTGTCATCTTCTCCAAGTCTTTTGACTCCTCGATGGCACAAACAATATAGTCAAATTTCTGATGAAGTGATCGGAGAATTTTCTCCACCACACGAACATCTTCGATCTTCTCACCATTTCTCTGAAGTTGATTCACTACGGACAAGACTCTAGTAAAATAGTCAGAAACTAGTTCACCTTCCTCCATCTCTAAATCTTCGAACTCATTTTGAAGTGTTTGGAGTTGCACCTTCTTCACCTTCTCTACTCCCTTATAAGAGTTTGAAGTATCTCCCAAGCTTGTTTTGAGGTCGCCGCATCTAAGATCTTCTCAAATGCTGATTCATCAACTCCTTGGTAAATAAAGTAGAGGGCTCTACTATCTTTCTTACTAGACTCTCTAAGAGAGTCTCTCTATGCTGCTGATAGCGCACGTTCATCTTCAGGCTTTTCAAAGTCTTTCACCACAACATCCCAACAGTTTATTGATCCTAATAGAGCATTCATTTGAATGCACCAGTTTATAATTTTTCTTGGTGAGTTTAGGAGCAACAAACGGGATCATTCCATTGGAACTCATCTTAGCTCTGATACCAATTTGATAATAATATTTGGCCCAGGATAAACAATTTGGAGGAGGATAAAATTATTCTATTAAATTTTCTTTCTTTCTTCTTTTCTTGACTACTTTCAACTTACAAAACACACATATATATACTACTACAATGATTCGTAGATTTCCTAATAAAGACTCTTGGATTTCCCAACAACATTCATGCATCTACATATTCATGTATTTGACTCCTCAAACAACAAAATGATCTTCTCTATTCCCAAGATAATTCAATCAAGTTTATTTTCAACAGAAATGTGGGCTCTGCTCAAAACAGAAACAGTCTCCGAATCAATTGGCATGACCAAATCAACCAGGAACATTTTAGCCTCTGGTGGAATATCCACGGGCACATGTCCTTTGAGCATGCTAACAACTAGCTCCATACTAGGCCTAAGGACAGCCCTACCTTGTATGCACTAGATTGCCACATAAATCAAAAGCCTAACTTGAGCCTCATCGACTCCGCCATCCTTCATCAATCTCTCATCCACCACATCCATTAACTTCCCTCTCATCTTCTCACTCACAACCTTTGGGAAATAGAACCATGTCCTCTCAGAAATGTTTCCATCATCAAAAAATTCAAAGTTCCTTCGACCTCCAAGAATCTCCAAGATTACCATTCCGAAGCTATAAACATCAGACTTCTTTGAAATACCTTCTCTCGAGAACCACTCGGGAGCTAAGTATCCTCTAGTCCCTCTAATAGTAGTAACAACCCTGCTTTCATATTTGCCCATCATTCTTGATATGCCAAAATCTGATACATGTGCTCTGAAGTTCTCGTCAAAGAGAATGTTCTGTGGCTTTACGTCTATATGAAGAATTCTTGAACGAAAATCATGATGAAGATATATAAGCGAGAGCCTCGGCAACATCAATTAATTGCAACTTGATATCTCATAGCCCATGATACATAACTTCCATTTTCTCTCTTTCCGGGGAAAATCCAAGAATCAAGGGTGTTAGGATATACGTCAACAAGAACGCCTCGAACGGAGACGCAATACACACCCAAACGATTTTAGAATCACAAAATAAAGACACAAATTCAATCACAGTACTCACAGATATAATGCGATTCACTTTTACGGAGCTACTTCACGGTACAACGATGACACCCGGTTCTTTTATATTCCAAAAGAATTAGATCAAAGAGAACACCCTCTCTTGATCAAGA